TATCGTTTGTGTGTGACCTGATTTTGCCTGCTAGGCATCCCTACTGACTCTGGTTTCCTGAGGTCACTGGTGACCCCCACTGCCAGCTGGCCAGTGACTGGCGGCCGATGTACCTGCTCTCCCCTTGGCTTCTGAAAAGCAGCTTTCTGTGGTCTTCATGTCTCTGCTGGGGCCACCACCACCTTTTAGACCTCATTTGTAGACTGTTCTTTAGTATTTCCCATGGTTCTGCAGGTGGGCGGATGCCCCCTCGTGTGTGAATGTGGTGGGAGGACAGAAGGTAGCATACTGCATGTGCTCCTCTGTACAGACACACCTCATTTTATTGTGCTTTGTAGATAACTGTGTTTTTATAAATGGAAGATTTGTGGCAGCCCAGTGTAGAGCAAGTTAGTTGGCGTCCGTTCCATTTGCTCACTTTGTGTCTCTGTGTCACATTTGTGTAATTTTCACAATATTTCAAACTTTTTCATTATTATTATATTCAGTATGCTGATCTGTGGTATCAGCTCTTACTATTGTGATTGTTTCAGGAGCACATGAACCATGCCTTGTGAGATGGTGAAATTAATAAATGTTGTCTGTGCTCTGACTGCTCCAGAACTGGCTGTTCCCCCATCTGTCACTCTCTTTGGGCCTCTTCCCTGAGACACAACAGTACTGAAATTGGGCCAATTAATAAGCCTACAGTCAACTCTAAGTGTTCAAATAAAAGGAAGAGACACATCTCTTGCTTTAAATTGAAAGCTAGAAATTATTAAACTCAGCGGGAAAGCCAAGACAAGCTGAAAGCTAGGCCTCTTGTGCTGAACAGTTTGCCACATTGTGGATGTAGAGGAAATATTCTTGGAAATGAAAAGTGCTACTCCAGGGAGCACACAAATGATGAAGTGAAACAGCTTTATCGCTGATGTGTAGAAAGTTTTTGTCACCTGCATAGAAGATCAAACCAGCCATAACATCCCGTGAAACCAAACCTGATTAAGAGCAAGGCTCTGACTCTCTTCAATTTTCTGAAGGCTGAGGGAGGTAACGGAGCCCCAGAAGGAAAGTCTGAAGCTCTCAGAGGTTGGTTCATGAGCTTTAAGGAGAGAAGCTGTCTCTATAAAAGTACAAGGTGGAGCACCCAGTGCTGATACAGAAGCTGCAGTAAGTTATCCAGAGATATAGCTAGGACAGTGAATGAAGGGGGCTACACTAAACAACAGATTTTCAGGGTAGACAGAAATCTGTTCTATTGGAAGAAGTTACCTTGTTGGATGTTCATAGATGGAAAGAAGTCAGTGCCTGGCTTCAAAGCTTCAAAGGACAGGCTGACTTCCTGCTAATGCAGCTGGTGACTTTAAGTTAAAGCTGATGTTCATTTACCATTCCAAAAAATCCTAGGGCCCTTAAGAATTCTGCTAAACCTATTCTGTGCTCTGTAAATGGAACAATAAAGCCTGGATGACAGCACTTCCGATTACAATGTGGTTTATTGAGTATTGTAAGCCTACTGTTGAGACCTGCTTAGAAAAAAAAAAGATTCCTTTCAAAACCCTACTGCTCATTGACAATGCACCTGGATACTGGATGGAGATGGACAAGATTAATGTTGTGTTCATGCCTCTTAACTCAGCATACATTCTGTAGCCCATGGATCAAGGAGTATTTAAAAAGTGCATTTTGTAAGGCTATAGCCACCATAGAAAGTGATTCCTCTGATGGACTGGGGGAGGTAAACTGAAAACCTTCTGGAAAGGATCCATACTAATTTAGATGCCACTGAGAACATTTGTTATTGATGGGAAGAGGTCAAGTATCAACATGAGCAGAAGTTGGAAGGTGTTGATCCAACCCTCTTGCATGACTTTGAGGGGTTCAAGATGTCAGTGAAGGAAGTCACTGGAGATGTGCTGAAAAGGGTAGGAGAACCAGAATCACAAGTAGGGCCTGTTTGCTGGCTGAAGTTCATGAAGATAGGACTGATTCACTGTGATCTCTGGATGAAACTTGAACAGTTAAGGAGTTGCTTCTTATGGATGAGCAAAGAACATGGTTTCTTGAGGTGGAATGTACTCCTGGTGAAGATGCTGTGAAGACTTGAAATGGCAGCAAAGGATTTAGAGTATGACATAAACTGAGTTGATTAAGCAGTGGCAGGGCTTGGGAGGATTGACTCCACAGTTTCAAAAGTAGGTCTGTGGGTAAAATGCTATCAAGCAGCATCGTGTGAAATAAACCATTCATGAAAAGAAGAGTCCATCGATGTGGCAAACTTGATTGCTTATTTTAGGAGCTTGCCACAGCCACCCCCACCTTCAGCAGCCACCACTGTTGACGGGTCAGCAGCTGTCACCACCAGGCAAGACCTCCACCAGCAAAAAAGACTATAGTTCTCTGAAAGCTCACAAGATGGTTAGCATTTTTTAGCAATAAAGTATCTTCTGATTAGGGTACCTACATTGTTTTTAGACGGTGCTGCTGCATACATAATGGACTATAGTGCAGTGTAAACATAACTTCCAGATGCACTGGGAACCCAGAAAGTTTGTCTGTCTTTATTGTGACATTTACGTTATTGTGGTGTTCTGGAACTGAGCCCATTGTCGTGGGGTCTCGGAGGCATGCCTGTCAGATCTCTTCTCACTCGGCGTGTGTCCCGGGAACTGTCTGTGGTAGTTTACCTGCCTCTGTGCCTGAGTTTCATGGTGCTGTGCTGGGTGCATGGACCGTCCTTCATTTAGCTAGGGCACTGCAGGTGAACGTGCAGTTCCTAGTATTTCACTCTCATAAATACCTGCAGTGAATAACGTTGTGTATTTAGTTCCTGTTTGTGGAGGTGAGGGGTCTTTAGTATCGGTAGTAGTAACCCATGATTTTCACGATCTGATGTGTTTCGGCTCATTGCAGACATTTATTGTAATGAGCAGCTTGAAAGATTAGAAACTTACAGAAAATATAATTAAGGCGAACATTTCATGCTACTGGCTACACCGAAATTTGGAGATCAGCAAACCCAGGTCCTGCAAGTTGGTCATTGTGATGGTGCTGTTTGCTGGCTGGGTCTGAGCATACACGTCAGGAGGCATGACTGTCCTAGGAGAGTACTGACCCCAGACTGGTCTCTTGTCCGTGGACCTTCTTCCCCTTCCACCAGGTGGGAGGGCCTGATGCTCCACGACCTGTTGGTCCTCCTGAGAACCAGGAGGGGTGCTACTTGTTTCACATGCCTCCCCTGCTGCTCTCAGCTGAGGTGATGTTGATACAATCCTTCTGGAAACGCATCCAAGAATTCCTGAGACACCGTGAAGCACGGCCCAGCTTTTCATTAAAAAACTGTGTCCAGCCTTCCATCTGACTGTACCACTTATATGTACTTAAAAATACTTTTGCTCTCTCACTTGCTCTCGGATAAATAAGAATCTTTTTTAAAAAATAAATACTTCTGATTTAAGAGCAATGTGGGATATGTATTGGGTCATAAAATATATTTATTTTATAGATTCAAATAATTTCTCTAAAGTAGATAGAAAAGATTTAGTGCATTTCAAATGTAATGTTACCGTTAAATGTTTTTGTTGAACTTTAATGAGAAGAGACTCTTCTCCCTTATTTTCAAACAGCTCTAACACACAAGACAAGAATAGAGACTAATATAATGAGCATGGACCCACGGTTTAGCATTATTTTTTCGGATAACCTCTGTGTCCACCGTGGGGTTGGGACTCGCAACCCAAGATCAAGAGTCACAGACTGAGGCAGCCAGGTGCCCCCACCACTCAGCTTTGTTAAGTCCTCACGCTGTTCGCTTTGTTGCAGATCTTTATAAAAATGGATCCCTCGTTACAAATAGAAACGAGGCTTTTTGCCCTCCTCTTTAGTCCTACCCATCCGTCTCATGCTCCCTCGTGCCATGTGAATTTCCAGGACTCAGAGATCCTTTAAAGCCCGTGACCAGGGGCATACAGGAGCAGCCTGGCGCAGGTCTGCCACCAGCATGTGGCCCGTGCGAACGTGGTCTTGCCAGGCCCGTGGGAGAAAGGTCAGTAGGAAGGGATCGCAATGAGGCTGTGGCACCTTTGGAAATGTCTATTTTGGGGACACCTGGCTGGTTGGTTGGTAAATCCTAGAACTCTCTGGGGGTCGTGAGTTCAAGCCCCATGTTGGGGATAGTTTATTTAATAAAAACAAACAAAAAAATCGAATTTTTAAAAAAGGAAACGTCTCTTTTTAACCACGTTTAGAGAATTCTCGAGTATCTGCATCCCCAGCCCCACTGAGATCTGTGGCAGCCTGGGGAGCTCCACATCTGCCCAGAGCACCCATAGGCCCACTTTCTCACCCTGTTGACGGTTGTTTTCATGTTGTCTGAAGCAGTGCCAGTCAGCCTGGCCCATAGGCAGCAGATGCTCTGGGGACAGTTACACAGGCTTTGAGGGTCTGGCCGGCTCCATGGTACCCAGCAGCCCTGCTAGTTTCAGGGTACAGTTTTGTGGGACGTGGGGTTTTTCAGGAATGCACAATATAGCATTAAAGCAGAAATGCCAGCAGCTGGACTGTGATGCTTTGAACTTAGTTTTACCTTGTTATTTGTATGTGATCTCTAAATACTTATATTTTCAAAAGCCATAGTAAAAATTCTCTTAGTTTTATAGTTCTCTTTTGTTAAAGTTGGAAAACCACTAAACCCTACATATTGAAAGTAAGAGAAGGTAATTTTGTATGCTTTTTTTTTTGTATGCTTTTTAAAAATTTTTGTATGTTTTTCAAAGCATATGCTATATCCAGAACAAAGAGAATTAACTATATTAGAAGGTGGAGCTATGAGTTAGAGATTTGTGACGTAAAAACATAATTTCAGTTTCCATTTACATTAGTTAAATTGCCATGCTTATTGATTTTAAATCAAGATCTGTTTGCTCATTGCATAAAGGCTGGAGGATTAACCGGAAGTGTGGTTTGGAGGTTTGGAGAAATGTGCTGTTTGGACTAACTACCACCTCTGTGCTGTCCTGCAGCTTGGTGTTTGGAAGCCAGCTGGACATCCACTCGGGTGGGGTCGATTTAGCTTTTCCGCATCACGAGAACGAGATTGCCCAGTGCGAGGCCTTCCATCAGTGCAAGCAGTGGGGAAATTATTTTCTGCATTCTGGTAAGTCATGACTTCAAATTAACTTGTATTTCAGTTCTGTTGATTCTCCTGACTGGTAAAACAGCTGCATTTGCAAATGCATAGCTCAGTGAACAGGTGAGGAAATAGACTTGTCTCCACGTGTTTGAGTCAGAGTCCGCTGATGTGAGTTTCCTTGCATTGGAGTTATGAGTACGTTTTTGGAATGAAGTATGGGCTGACCACAATGTGGGGAACGTTCTCCGTGCTGGGGCTGGTATCAGAGGTGCTCTGCCATCTGATGGGCAGTGGGCTGCTTGATGTTCCACTTCACTCAGGTTCCCGGGACTGGAAGCCAGAGGCTGCTTGGCCTGAAGTGCACCCACTACCATGTTTCCCTTCCTTGAGCCCTGCCGGGAGTCGCTCCCATGGCTGCCGCTATGTCCTGGAACAGCCCTCAGTTCCCTGAGACACCAGGCCCATCTCTGTGCTGCCTGAAGGAGTCTGGGATGCAGAAGCAGAGGGGGCCGAGTGGCTGCTTACAGCATCTGAACTGCCGTCTGGTATTCCACTTCATTTCCTGGGTAGAGCCCAGCAGTGGCTAAAACTCTCTGTTTCTGCCAACAGTGCGACTTGCTGGCAGATTTCCTAAACAGGATGAAAACCTGATGATCCTGGTTCCACCTGCAACTCATACCTCCAGGGCCAGCAGAGTGGGCACTGCCCAGTGCCTCCGAGATGACCTCCAGGGCCTGGAACATTCCATAGTCTCCCTTTGGCCTGAGAGCATAAGAGGAAGACATACGCAGAATAAATGTGCACAGAGCCTGTGGGGCAGGGAGCCCCCCAAGGACTGAAGCTCTGTGTCCCATCCCCACTCAGACTCGGGAACACGGCACCCAGATGGGCCATCTGGGTGGCTGGAGCCTGATGCCCACACACCTGTCATAGGCCTGGTCTTGGTGACACAGTGGTATTCTCCCTTGCCGGGACGTGCCATGTGCCCATCAGTGCATGTGGGCCTGGGGATCAGCAGGTGCCAGCGGCGCCAGTGCCCACCCCCTTTATGCCGGCGCCGTGCTGCTGGCTGGTTGTGACCGTTATATGCTGTTAGGATGGTAGGATCTCCTTCACCCCACTGTCACCCTGTGCTGGAGAAACATCTGTGGCTCCTAGCGCACAGGAAGATTCATACTCCTTTTCTGAAGGAAACGGATGGAAGATAAGGAGTTGGATGTGTTTCATTTTCCAAAGATTGTCAATTTTTTTTTAATTAATTAATTTATTTATTTATTTATGATAGTCACAGCGAGAGAGAGAGAGAGGCAGAGACACAGGCAGAGGGAGAAGCAGGCTCCATGCATCGGGAGCCCGACGTGGGATTCGATCCCGGGTCGCCAGGATCGCGCCCTGGGCCAAAGGCAGGCGCCAAACCGCTGCGCCACCCAGGGATCCCCAAAGATCGTCAATTTAAAAAATGTTTAACTGTGTTTGGTATATACATGTTACATCGAATTACGTGTTTGAGGTTATATTTTTTCTATTTGGAAGCCACATTTTAACCAGTTCTCAGAAAACTTGGCCTTGAAGCACCATTGTGCTTCCTGTGGTGTCAGGAGAGGAGAGGCCCCCCTGGGAGTGCACCTTGATAAAGCCTGGCCCAGGGGACCCTGGCTGGGACTGAGCAGCTCTACACACGGGCTCGGCCGTCCTCCTAACTGCCATACTCGGGGTGAGGGACTGCCAGGCTCTCAAGAAGCCTGTGAAAACGGACTGCACCGGGAAGTGGAATGAGTCCTTGTCAGACCTACCTACAGTTTGGAACATCCAAAACTCAGCAGGTATTGCTGGGTGCCCATTTTGCAGAACCAGAGCTCCGACCTTTCCCAGGGTGCGGAGTCTATTAGGTTGGTGTTTCCAGGGTGCAGGATGGACGGTACAGGGCTGCCCACAGTGGGCAGGGCAGACCCCACGCCCTCCAGCAGGTGCAGCTGTGGCTTCCCCCCTTGGGGGGCACTGCCCAGTATCAGCACAGATGTGGGTATTTGCTTATGGCAGAACAAGTACAGCGTGTGCAGGGTGTTCCTGGCATCTGAGGCTGGCCCGCAGTCCCAGCCCGCTCCCCCATCTCCCACCCAGTTCAGAACTAATTACTGTTTCTGTTTCAGGGCATTTGCATGTGAAAGGCAAAGAAGAAAAAATGTCCAAATCACTGAAAAATTACATTACTATTAAGGTAACCTACTGTGCTGCTGCTGCTGCTGACCTGTCCTGAAGGCTGCTGCGTGGGCGAGCCTAAGTCTCAGATCCCCCGTGCTCTCGCTCTAGTCCCGCAGCCTCACAGGCTTCTCCTATGCCCGGGTGTGACTCGCATTTTCTCATGGTAAAAGCGTGGCAATAATCTGGCACTCTGGTTCTCTGCCATGTCCCCCCCCGCCCTCTGTGGCCTGGCTTCCCTGCAGATGGCCACCATCTTCCCTGGCCCATTCCCCACGCGGTTACCCTGAGTCCCATTTACCCCTCTTCGTGTCCTACCGCTGGTCTGCCGTCCTGTGGCTTCTCTGGGCCCCAGGGACGAGGGATGGCCTGTGAGCATCCACAGGAATGGAAACCATGTGAACTCACGGGGGCACTTCAACAGTTTGCTCTTTGTCCTTGGGCCCATAAAGCCAAATGTAGTTTTATTTATTTATTTTTTAAAGAGACTTTATTTATTCATGAGAGACCTGCAGACAGAGGCAGAGACATAGGAAGAGGGAGAAGAAACAGGCTCCCTGTGGGGAGCCCAATGTGGGACTCGATCCCAGGACCCCAGGATCACAACCTGAGCTGAAGGCAGACACTCAACCACTGAGTCACCCAGGCATCCCTGCCAAATGCAGTTTTATTTTTTTTAATTTATTTTATTTATTTATTTTTAAAGATTTTATTCATTTATTCATAGAGACACATGCAGAGAGAGAGAGAGGCAGAGAGACACAGGCAGAGGGAGAAGCAGGCTCCATGCAGGGAGCCCAATGTGGGACTCGATCCCGGGACTCCAGGGTCACGTCCTGGGCCAAAGATAGGCGCTAAACTGCTGAGCCACCCAGGGATCCCCTTTTAGCTCTTTTCCCACTTTTGCTAAAAGTCTTGCTTCCTTACAACAGCGTATATGCTTCATGCTTTATCTTAAAAGTGACATGTTTTAAAATTTAATACCAGTATTCCTATTAACACTAAAACTGTTGAGTAAAGATTGCCTTTATTTTTTTTTATTTTTTTATTTTTTTTAAAGATTGCCTTTAAAGATTTCCATTAAAACAGTTCTTGTTTTAATAACAACTTTACTGAGACACAATTCACAGATCAGAGGCTTCACCCTTTACATTGTATTACTCAGTGTTCTTAGCATCTTTAAAGAATTGGGCAACAGTCCCTACTATCTACTTGACACGCTCACCACCCAGAAGGAAACCACATGCCCATGACATGCTCATCCCTGCCCCCTGTGCCCTCTGGTGTCTGACCTTATCGATTTGCTGGTGCTGGGCTTGCACTTCCTGTTACTCTTGGCCTCTGGCATGGAGGTCACGCAGTTGGCGCACATCTGTGCAGAGTGTAATTATTTGCTGTGTAGCATCCTCCTCAGCTGCACAGCAGGCTCATTTGTTAGGTTTGTTTCCAGCTGGAGGCTGTGTCTTTCCCCTTTCCCTCTGTTTTCCAAGAGTGTGAGGTGTTGCAGGAGTTCAGCAGAGTTAGGCTGTCCCCAGTGTGGCTCTGCTCTTTGGCTTGTTGCCAGGTTGTCCTCCCAGTGTTTGGTGTGACAGAAGGAAGCCATCCCTACAGGAACCTTGATTTTCCCTTTCTTACACAAGGTACTACGTGTCCCAGAACGCACTTTGCCACCCCCTACCCCCCGCCGCCCCTAGCAGCAAACTGTAATGTTTGCATTTGGTTTTAGAAGGAATGTGTGTCAGTGCGGGAAGTCTGACAGTTGCAGACAAGACGGAGGAGCCCACAGTGGGAAATGTGGAGCCCAGAGAGTGGGGAGCACACGCTCCCTGGCTGCCCTGCGTTCTCTCCCAGAGCAGCTGTTGCCACCTTAGCAAAGCGCGCATGTATAAATACGTTTCTCGGGGTTCTCCTTCCACACAAGTGGTTGCCCTGTTTTGCACTTGCTTTATTCACTTAATGCATCTTTGTGGTCACTTTCTTCCATATGGAGTTAATTCCTGTGAATGGCTGGGTTGTCATTGTACCCTAATTAAACAGTGCCCTGTTGATGGTTATTTTAAATTATGTCAGATTTTCTATGAGAGAGTGTGTAGTTAAATTTGCATAGGTATTACAGAGTCTGCATTACTTAGGGGGCCTGGGGTGCGGTACCATGACGGGCCCGTTTCCTGCGACTGGGTGTGATGGGAGTCTGCGTGCTCTACAAGACAGTGATGAGAGTGTAGGATAAAGGCCATCAGAGGATGTGTGCATGCAGAATGTTCTGGATGAAGCCTCTGCTAGCGAAGCAGTAAGTGTTCTTGATATTCTTGCCAACAGGGTATCAAAGTGTCGGTTTCCTTGTCAGCATGAACTACTAAATAAGATCTGAATCAGGCTAACATTTTCCTTGTTAACTTGGAAACTGACAGCCAGGCTTTAAATTTCCGTTTCTTTCCCAGGTGCATGTGAGAGTGTGTACTTACGGTCTCGTTACTTTGTATTTTGGGGGGGCGTGGGGGCGTGGGGGCGTTCAGCCATATTGTGGTGGAAAAAACACGTGTCTGTTTCCTGGTTTCGGGCAGAAGAAGGTCTCCCCGCCAGGCCTCATTATTTTGGAGGCGGCTGGCAGACGTTGGTTATGGTCTGCAGGAAAACTTGATTCTTTCTGCGTGACGAGACCCGAGTCCACGCGGGGAGAGGTTGACCTTTACAGCTCAGATAACGGCTCGGAACTGGCCTCTTTTCATCTCTAGGTTGTGATTTAGGACCCGTTACTTTACTCTCAAAGCCTCAGTTTTTCCCTCTGAACGTGACATGAGGGCGCCCACCCCGAGGGAGTCAGGGAGGCTCCCTGGGGGAGGGGCAGCCGCCCCCCCGCTTCCTGCCGGCCGCACCTCCTTGGCTCCGGAGCTGTCCCCACGGTCACCGCCTGATGGCCGCGTGCCCCAGAGGTCATGAGCCACCTTCTGCCCTTCTGGCACCCGTTTCACCAGTCGGAGCTGCGGTGGCAGCTGGTGACAGCACAGCAGGGACCCAGGCCGCGTCTCGGTCAGGCATTGGGGCGGTGAGGAAAGCAGAGCGCTTCCCCCGGGCCTGAGGCGTCGCCCACAGGTACAAGTGGCCGGGTTTAGAGGGCGCGACCGACGATCCACGATCGGATACGCGTCTGCGCGGTGAGCCGCTTCCCCAGTCGCTGGCGAACGCACCGACACCGCAGAGTCCCCTCGGGGCGTGTGGTGAGGACACTTGCCATCTGCCTCAGCACGTTCCTAGTGCAGGACACAGCCCTCGGCACTGCGGCCGCCGTGCTGTCCGAGAGGCCCGGAGCTCGGTCGTCGTACGGCTGAGAGCGCGCCCCTCGACCAGCGTGTCCCCGTCTTCCCCGCGCCACAGCCCCGGCAGCGCCATCTGCTCAGTTTCTGGGACTGTGACTCTTTCTCCCTTGAGCCACAGGTGGACCCTACAGGACTTGTCTCTTTATTTACTTAGCATAATGCCCTCCGGGTTTATCCCTGTGTCACAAATGGCAGGATCTTTCTTTTCTGATGGCTGAATAATACTCAATAATATTCCACTGTATGTTCTGTGTCTGCGTGCCTGTCGCATTTGTTTTTGATCCGTTCATCCATTCACAGACTCTGGGGTTGCTTTCTTATCCTGGCTCTTGTGAATAGTGATGCACTAGACATGGGCGTGTGGATATCTCAAGAGATGGATTTTCTTCAGGTAAATACCCAGAAGTGCAGTCCCTGAATGGTAGGATAGTTCTATTTGTAACATTTTGAAGACCCTCCACACTGTTTTCCACGGTGACCACACCAGTTCCCATTCCCCACCAACAGTGCACGAGGGCTCCCCTTTCTCCACATCCTCACCAACACCTGTTGTTTCTTCTGTTTTTGATTCTGGCCATTCTGACAGGTGTGAGGTTATAATCTCATTATGGTTTTGATTTGCATTTCCCAGTGGTGAGTGATGTTGAGCATCTGTTGATCCTCTTTGGAGAAATGTCTGCTCACGTCTTATGCCCACTTTTGCATCAGGTTGTCTTCTGTTGAGTTGTAGGAGTTGCTTATCTCGGAGACTCAGCTCTTATCAGATACATGGTTACTCATGCTTTCTCCCCTTCCAGGCCACCTTTCTGCTCTGTTGCTGGTTTCCTTTGCTTGTTAGTTCCTGTGGTTGTCCTTTCATTCTGTTATTATCGGGGATTAGCCCCCAGGGCCTGAATGCTGTGGAAACAGCTCCATCACGGAATTCTCTTTGCAGTTACCGGGACTCCTCCACAGGAGCCCCCAACATGGTGAGAATAAACACTTGTCCTGTTGCTGGACTCTGAACACACATTGAGGGCAATCTGAATGAGCCCATGGTCTGAGTGGGAGGAGAAACCTTTAAAATAAAACCCTGTGGGACACCTGGGTGGCTCAGCAGTTGAGCATCTGCCCTTGGCCCAGGGCGTGATCCTGGAGTCCTGGGATCCAGCCCCGCATCGGGCTCCCTGCATGGAGCCTGCTTCTCCCTCTGCCTGTGTCTCTGCCTCTCTCTCTCTGTCTCTCTCGTGAATAAATAAATAAAATATTTAAAGATAAATAAAACCCTAAAAAAAAAAAAGAAAAATAAAAAAATGAAAAAATAAAGCCCTAAAAGCCATTTAGGACTTTAAAGGGAGTTTAAGGGATCCCTGGGTGGCGCAGCGGTTTGGCGCCTGCCTTTGGCCCAGGGCGCGATCCTGGAGACCCGGGATCGAATCCCACATCGGGCTCCCGGTGCATGGAGCCTGCTTCTCCCTCTGCCTGTGTCTCTGCCTCTCTCTCTCTCTCACTGTGTGCCTATCATAAATAAATAAATAAATAAAATAAAAAAAAAAAAGTGGCTGGCATATAAAAAGTGCTTTATAAAAAAAAAATAAAGGGAGTTTAAATGGAGTGACATAGAGAACAGTGTGCGAATGATGAAGTCTTGTACACAAGGTTAGTTTTCCACCTGGTGACGCTGTTTGTGGCATAGTGACTACACTGCATTTGAAGTGGTTCCCCCAGGGGGACTGAGGCAGGGCACCTGCTCCCGGGGGTCCTGTTCCTGCTATACCAGCTCTGTGAGGCCAAGGGTCAGCTTCACCCAGGGGACGGGCTCTGTCACTGCTCACAGGGGGGCACCTGCCGATCTTGGTGTGGCTCCTGGCCACTGTCCTCCCAGCTATCACATGCTGGGTCACTGTTGTGTGTGTTTGTGGGGCAATATGTGCAGAAATAACCACCAGACATGGATCAGGTTCACAAGAGGAGGGCTGAACATGTCTCCTTTTACTCACAGAGAATCCACAGTGAAGGACAGGATAGTTTTGGGTTTTGACCCAAATTCCATGATGTCAGAAGGTCCTGTCAGAGCCAGCTTATACCTGGTTGGGGGGGGCGGGGCGTGGTCACCATGAGCACGTCCGTGGCAGGCCCAGCGGTGCCCCGGTGCCCCCATGGAGGCCAAATTTGTCCTCCCTCCCCCTGCCCCCACCCCATAAGGCCCCTGAGCACTTTCCACCGCCACCACACACAGGTTTTGTTGAACTTTGTGATGTTCCAGCAAGTTCTGCTGAGTTTCCCCAGGTTATCCCTCCTAGTAGAGACCTGTCCACTTTGTGTGGATGTTTTGAAAGTGATCTAAAACAGCATCTTTTCAGTTTTACTATTTAATCCAAGGCGGTGCTGTGTTCAAGAAACCTGAGCTTGGGGCCAGCTTCATCCTGTTGCCACAGAGCTCGCATGGCCAGTGGGAGGGCAGGTGGCCTCTGCCCCTGAGCCCCACCGTCACATTCTCCACTGCCCCTCCTCCTGCACCCCTTCCCTTGCCTGGCCCTTTGCTAGGCTGTGTCCATCCCCTGGTGACACACGGGCAACACGGGGTGGGGCGTGCTAGTAATGAGTCTGGAACAAAACCAGATTTCGTAAAACTTCCTGATTGCTTGATAAGCGAGATCAGCTCGCACAAGCTGTCGTACGCGCCCTAATTTCCCATTTTTCCCTGATCTCTCTTAGGACTTTCTGAAGACGTTTTCCCCTGATGTCTTCCGGCTCTTCTGCATGCGGAGCAGCTACCGGGCAGGTGAATGACACGTGAGGCCACGGGGTGCGCTCAGGCAGGTGGCTGAACATGGGCTACATCCCAAGCAGTCTCAGCAGTGCAGCTGCTTTCTGCCTGAAAACAAGCTGTGGAGGCATGGCTGGAAAGCATCCCAGCTCCTGGCCAGAAGGTTCCAGAAGCTTGTCTTTGGAGGCCATGGGTTTTCCACCGGCCCCGGCTCTGGGTGGTGTGTGGGCTGGGCATGAAGCCCCGTGGAGGGCGTGTCCTCACACACCACAACATCAGAATTTAGGGGCCTGGCCTCTGTCCTGGGCCTAAAATTGGAGCCCAGAGTCCCCTGTGTTGGCTGGTCTCCTGAGAGGTGGTTCAGAGCCCACATCTCTGCATTCCCAGAGCCACCTGTCTCAGCACGAATGGACTCCTGGCCAAAACCTTTTGGGAGTAGTTTTCCATGTTTCTTCCAAGGCAGGGAGGCTGGGGTCAGGACGGAGCCTCTTGGTCTGAGCGGGGCAGGCGTCAGGGAGTCCCGGGGCAGGGAGTCCCACTTCCACTGCTTGGCTTCTGGCCGACAAGCGTCAGGTGTGCGGGGTATGGGCATGGGCAGCAGCACCCGGTTGACCTCATGCATCCCATCCACAGCCATTGACTACAGCGACGGCACCATGCTGGAAGCCAAGCACCTCCTCCTGGTGGTGGCAGCATTTGTGGAGGACGCCCGGGCCTACATGAAGGGGCAGCTGGTGTGCAGCCCCATCAGGGACGATGTGCTGTGGGAGAGGTAGGTGCCCTCCCTGTATCCACCCGAGTGTCCTGGGCGCCACCCGTGGGGCTGTGGTCCTCCGGGAGTGCTGGTACAGAAGGTGCCTTGGGCACGTCAGTGGTCCTGCTGGGGTGAGTCACCCCCGCACCCAGACTGAGTTTGCTCACTGGTGTTTGTGAGTGATGCAGAGAGGTTCTGGTCCCCTTACTCCATGGGTAGGAGCCTGGCAGGTGCGTGGCCGAACTGGACCCCTGAAGAGCACGGGAGGGTGGCTTCAGTGGCTCAGTCCAGGCTTGATCGGGAATTGACCAGCAAGTCTGCACAAGTCAAGTGCATGTCCTGCCATTGCCTGAGAGCCATGCACACCAGTGTCTGGCCACAGGATGGTGGCAGAAGGCTGTGACAGTGGAGCGGCCCCCAGGAGTGGCAGGAGTAGAGTAGCAGGGAGGGTAGGGGGGGTGGGAAATGTTACATGCGGAAATCGTGTTTCTAGTTCCGTTTGTTGAATGGTTAAACTTGTTCATCTTTGTTGTGTCACTTGTGAAATGGTGTGGAAGATGTGGGGCTGGCATCCGGGATGTGAGAAACTGGGGAAGACTGGGAAATGCTTGTGCGGTTAGGAGGCAAAGCTCCCAGTGGGTCTATCGGGTGTTTATCGGGTGCTGCATGTGCCTGCACCATCATGGGACGGATCTCATCCTGGAGGAGTCCCTAGGAAGTTAGGAAAGTCCCTGGACACATCTGGAGTCAGCCTGGGGAGGAGGGAGGATGCTGGGCTGGAACAGGCTGGCACTGAGTCTGTTGGTCCCAGCCACGGGTGTCCAGGGGACAAAGCCTAGAGCATCGGGGCAGGGCGTTTGAGGGTGTTGTGTGGCTTGGTGCTGCCAGCAGGACTGGGCAGCCATCTAGATGGAGGCCCCAAGGGAGGGACAGGTGGACACTCATCTTTTTCTCTGGCATTCCTCGGCGACAGGCATGGTAGAGGGGGAAGGTAGAGACTGCCACTCGGGAGGTCACATTCAGCTTTGTGACAAACAGCCCTGATAGTGGCCTGTCTCTCCCTTCCTGGTCCCTCAGAGCCAGGCTGGGAGCGGCCACCACCTGCCAGGACCGTGTGACCCTGAGAGGGATGGCTGGGACCTGGGGCCACCCTCCACCCTCAGGGGGGTCCTGCCTACAGGCTCCTGGGGAGGGGGGTTTGCATCATGCCATCCTTCCCTCCAAGCCTGCACATGACAGGTCTGCATGATGCAGACGGCTGACAATATACCGTGATGTCGTTTGAACCTTACTTTCTCACCGCTGCATTTTTAAACTGTTAGGAGACACAGGGCTTGTTCAAACCCAGGTTTTAGAGGCTTTCTCAGTCTGAATCTTGGGGAATTGATCTTACCCGGTTAGGACTGTTAGCACTCACAGGTGTGAGCGTGGCCTAGAAAGGGCCAGCGGCAAAGTCACGGTCACGACTCAGGAGGGTGTCTGTGCTGCGGAGGGACTGGGGCGCACCCTGTTCCTTCTGCTGGGCCAGTCCAGGGGCTGAGGCGTGCCTCTTTCCCTCCCAGGCTCTGCCACACCCAGGAAGCTGTGAAGGCCGCCTTGGCAGACGACTTCGACACGCCTGCAGCGGTGGATGCCATCATGGACCTCATCCACCACGGGAACAGACAACTGAAGGCGCGCACAAAGGTATGTCCCAAGACGTGGCTGCTGGGGTGGGGTTTGGGTATGGTTGGTTCCCTTACCCTCCTTCCCCCCAAAAGCTGCTTCAGCCTGCACGGGGCCACCCCTCCAGAGCAGGGAGGCCCCACACACGGACAGGTGTTTGCTCACATGGGAAGCACGTCATCCTGTTTCCTCAGAGGAACTCAATGGAAGCTGTGTGTGGGGCCACTGACCTCCCAGAGACCCATCTGTTAACACTGTCACCCTGGGGGTTAGGTGTCAGCGTATGGATTTGGGGGACACAGCACGCAGACCCTAGCAGATCCCCATGTCACAGATGGGCAGACTGAGGTGCAGGGGTTCCGTGGCTTCCCCGCAGTCGTGCAGTGTGCCCTTGAGGGGCTACTCCAGGGTTGAGTACAGAGTATGCCCTGCCAGGGCCGTCCTCACTGCATGAGGAGCAGAGGCAGTGACAGGAGTGCTTTTACACCATTTTCCTGGCTCTTAAAGCGCCTCCTTCCTGTGATGTCACAGGAACCCGGCGGTCCCAGGAGTCCTGCCGTGTTTGGCTCCATCGTGTCCTACATCAAACAGTTCTTCGAGACCGTTGGGATTTCTCTGGTGGACAGACAGGTATGCCCTGCCCTTCTAGTCCTCCTGTGAGGTTGTCTATGTGCACTAACAACTGTTTGTTCTTTTTATTTTTTTAAAAGATTTTATTTATTCATGAGAGACAGAGAGAGGCAGAGATGTAGGCAGAGGGAGAAGCAGGCTCCCTGCAAAGAGCCTAATGTGGGACTCAATCCCAAGACCCTGGGATCACGACCTGAGCTGAAAGCAGACGCTCAACCACTAAGCTGCCCAGGCATCCCTGCTCCCCTTTTAAAAATGTTATTTTAATGGATAATTATGCTGAATTTATGTGCTTAAAATACGTTCTGTAAAAAGTAAACGTTTACCTGACCTGCAGTGATTCTGAGCAGAGCTGGCCACCCCTCCTGGCTGCCGACTGACTGCTATGGGTTCTGTCCTTTGGCGTTATTTTGAGACTCTCTAGATGCAGTTAGGTGCACAGTAAGATGACACGCTTCCGGCCGAGCCCCTTGGTGTCCTGTAGCAGGGATGGGTGCTGTTCTCCCCCCCCCGCCCCCGGGGGGGGGGCCCTGCCTGCTTCACTGAGACAGGAGAGCCAAGGGCTCAAGTGGCCAGACTCTAAACATGGAGAGTGACCATCACACGTGTGCTGGGACCACTCATCCTCCCAGGCTGTGCTGTGGGGTAAGGGGAGGCGGATCAGGCCCAGTTGTCCTTGGCTTCACCTCCTTCTCAGCAGCGGACACTGGATCCTGCTTTGGGCTCTTTTATTATGGAAGCAGTAACTGAGGATTCTGTAGGTTTGAGACGTTTGACCCGAGCTGTAAACTGTTTCTTTCACACCCATGAGCACAGCCAGCCGCTAGGGTCCCCTCCCTGTAAGGAGATATCCTGTAGGTGGGAGAGGACTTCCAGTGACTTCAAATCCTACTTGACCCACTGAACTCTGCAGCCGGGCAAGGAGACTGTCAGTTTGTGACCAAGTAGTGACAGCGTACTGTGTGTGCGAACCATATGCAAGGTGTACGTTGTTTTAAGTATTTTTTTTTAATTTATTTATTCATGAGAGACAGAGAGAGAGAGAGAGAGGGGCAGAGACACAAGCAGAGGGAGAAGCAGGCTCCATGCACTGGGAGCCCAATGTGGGATTCGATCCCGGGTCTCCAGGATCGCGCCCTGGGCCAAAGGCAGGCGCCAAACCGCTGCGCCACCCAGGAATCCCAGATGTTAGCACATCTGTGGAAGAGTAGCTCCTGGCCTGCTGGCAGGAGTGCAGGATGGGAGGAGGGCTGCCCACACGCCTGGGTGCAGGGACACTGCTCCCAAGGATGGGGGCAGGAACCCTAGGGCTGAACCTCCTAGCAGTGTTGGGGAGCTCCCTCTGGTGACCAAGGCGTGCAAGCCAGGGGAGCGGGGACTGGCCAGCAGCCCAGGCCCAGTGAAGAGAGCCCTGGGGAGGACATGCACCGATTGGGCTTATTAGCACAGAAGCCTCAGCACCCTGTCAGCTGGGCTCAGCCCTCTGGGTAGCTGCCAGGGCCTCACTGATTGTACCATTCCACCCGGTGTAGTTGGTTTCAGACGACAGCAGTCGGGCTACTCTACACAGCGTGGTGGAGGAGCTGGTCCGGTTCCGGCTCAAGGTCCGGCAGTTCGCCCTGGCCACAGAAGCGGCCACCTGGGAGGCTGGACGGCAGCAGCTCCTGGACAGGCGGCCCCTGCTAGAGGCGTGTGACACTTTGCGCCGGGACCTTGCTGCCCATGGCATCAGCATTAAGGTAAGCCGTTGCCGCTATGGCCTGGTGACTGGGCACCATCACCCCCAGGTGCTGTGTAGACCGGAAGGCATCCCACAAACGCAGAGCGGTCAAAGCCCTGGATAGGCACAGTGCTGATGCTGCCTGTGAAGAGAGAGTCCCACCCCCTCGCCCCAGTGACTTCAGGGGGCACCCACGGGAGGAGGGACCCAGGAAGGGCCACTACGGCGGAGAACACACACGGGAGTGGGCCCAAGCGGCCCAGACCAGCCCTGAGCTGAGAGTCTGCTCCCTCCCCAGGATAGGAGCAGCACATCCACGTGGGAGCTGCTGGATCACAGGACCCAAGACCACAAACCAGGGAGCTGAGGACTTCCAGCACATTCTGTGCTTAAGTCACGGTAACAGCTTTATATCCAACTTTCCCATTGTGCCTGATGGTCAACATTAAAGTCAAACTGATTCCATGTGCCTGCAAAGTGGATTCTTTGTGGTACCAATGGCCACAGACAGGGGCTATTCTAACAAGACCTCAGCCCTGGGTAATGTCATAGAAAACCACGTGACACAACCCCGTGTTCACTGACACTGGTTTCGTCTTTGTGCTGCACCTAATCTTGTTTTAACCCCTAATTCTCGTAGATGGAAGACACAGGTCTGACAGCAGACCACGAGCAGGAGGTGGAAACCAGCACCAGCACTGTGCAGCCCACACCCCGCTCTGTCCCCAGCCAGGCCAGCCTACGGTCCAGTACTGTCAAGTTGGCCTTCACCGGTCCTGTGGGCACAGGGGGGAAGCACATACTAGGCACCGTGGTGTATAGAGTGCTGATGCTCAACAGCCACATTCACTGGTCACTGACCTTCATGACCCCAAAAGGCAGTGGTGTCTTGTCTACCGCTGAGGAAACCCATTCAGAAGCGGCCTTGCCAACAGTGACCCACTTATGAGGGTCCCCCTCAGTACATGGGGATCACGCTGTTCCCTGATGGCCAGATGCCAAACCTGACCACTAGGAGGTGCTTCCATGCTGCTCTCTTGGTCTTGAGGTAAATGCTTGTCCTTAGCTGGAGCTAATAGGTCCACACAGGTGTGTATACTTGGATACACTCCTCACTGCCATACACACTCAGAGCAAAAATATAAGAATATTTCTGTGACTCTTGAATTTTACTTTCTGTGGAATGAAAGGATTACTTCATTTTTTTTTTTTATAAAGATTTTATTTTTTTCATGAGAGAGAGAGAGAGGCAGAGGAGAAGCAGGCTCCATGCAGGGAGCCTGACATGGGACTCGATCCCGGGTCTCCAGGATCACGCCCTGGGCTGAAGGCAGCACTAAGCTGCTGAACCACCCGGGCTGCCCAGGACTACTTCGTTTTAACAACGTTGGTAGGCTTTTCCATTTTTGGCCCCCTGCTGACAGTGCCTTCACTGAGGAAAGTTGAAAGATGGGTTTGGGCTTTCTAAGAAAAAAGTACACAACTCCACACTGAAATAAACCAGATATGCTTTTTTTAATAGTTACCAGGATTTAGATGTAATTCCCCAAAGGGAAAAACAGTGACACTTCTCAAATTACATATGAAACAAGAGTGGGAAACAAATTACATATGAAACAAGAGTGGGAAACATTAAGATCCGTTTGGGGTGAAGGGTCTCAATCAGAGAACATCAGCCAACGATGACCATCAGGGCAAACAGACGTGTAAAGGATCCACACAACTCCTGTCCTTGTAGAAAGACCCTGAAACCTACGGGAAGTATTCACAGGCACAGAAACCAACCCCACAGAGAAAGACACCAGAGAAGCAGCTCTCAGGCCACAGAGAAAACCATCCACCTAGAGTGCCAACCAGAGGCTAACAGGGCACCTCTAATGGAATCTCTTCCTGACAACACCCACTTTTAATGATAGCAGTCAGTCCCTGCACTTAGGGCCTCCTGGGTGCTCCCAAACGTCCAACTTCGTCTGTTCCTCCTGAGAGCCTGTGAATGGGTCACATCACAGACGAGGGCTCCACAACTCCAAGGGCATGCTGCCCACCGCCATCACTGCACACACACGTAGGAGGAGTGTTTCCTCTGAAAGCTGGTCACTGATAATACTTCAACCAATTAACCTTGACCACTCATGCTTACTATTTCTGCCGACAATTCCAACCAGATCCGTGTTTAAAAAGCAAACACGCCGAAGACCACACATGCGATGCCGCTTGGTGGACCTCAATTTAAACAGCACAACTCCTCATCCTGTAGATACTTTAACAGGACCAGTGGGAGTCTTGTGAGTAGCATGTGACACGGGGAATTTCTTGTGCGTGCATGCGCGCACACAGGAAACGTGGGCAGTGAGGAGGAAGGAGCCCAGACCAGGAGCGGGTCCATGGTCTTACAGCAAGCGCACAAAGCTCAGCTGCTGGCCCTGTGCACAGCTCATCTGTCCCTTACTACTGAGCAGCTAAGAAAAGTTCAGGAATACTTGGAGGTGTTACAGTGACACTAAATCAACTATGCAAGTAGCCCAAAATCAATACCTGACGTGGATTCCCAGGACAAAGGCAGCCTCCCCCATCAGCACGCTTGCTTCTTGCTGTCGTGGCTCAGGTTTCAAAGAGTCTGCTGAATGCAGGCCCAATTTCAGCAATCATGTCGGTGGTGGTGGTGGAACGTCCGTGCTTCTGGAAGGCCTGGAGGCTGCACTGCCTCGTGAGTGAGCATGCACCCAAGGCGGCCAGGAGGAGAGGGCTGGACCTGGAAGGGGAGGATGGTCAGCAGGTGCCTACACTCACTGTAGGCCTGACCTTCCCTTCCTTTCCCACCTGGGACCCCGAACAGGCCTAGCAGGCAAGTCTGCTAGCCTTCTGAGATAGAAGGCAGCCTTAAGACCAGGGAGATAGGGCCCATCAATACCCACCCACCCAGAGGACAGCATGGCAGTTCTACCCCCAATGATAACTAGACCCATATGCATCAGCGCCAGGGAGAAATGTTGAAGATCTGAGAATGCGGGTTCCCACCATCATCAACAGGCCCCCGTACAATCTTGTTTCTCCATGTACATGCCCTTAACAGGTGCTCCCTACTTCCTGTTGTGCTACCACCCTACAGGCCTCACAGGCTTCACAGGTGGGGCACCCTCCAGACCCAGGACACCCCACCCCAGCACATGTGGCCCCACCGTCATATGACAGGTATAGAGAACAAGTCACGGAGGACTGGAACCTGCCTGTGCTCAGCAGTGGACGTGGGCCAAGCCTGCAGTTCAGAGTTCTGCCTCTTAGATAAAGCTCCCACTTCAGGACAGCAATCAAGGCCGGCTCACCTCTGCTCTATTTCTGGTCTACTGTTCTGCTTTACAGGGGTTCACATCGCACCCCCCGGAACACGGTCTCAAATTTGGGGAGCTTCACAAACCACAGACACTCCAGAGCATTGGCACTGAGCAACGGGCCAGGGCATCAACCTTACACTGAGCCAAGAGCCAACCAGGTGACCGTTCTGGGATCACATCCCCATCCTGGGATCGCTTCCACAGAACACCAAGGTTTCATGTGGCTACTTATTAAACATGGGCAACTAAAATGGTTCACACGATTCAAAGCTCTCAAGGGGAAGACAAGTGAAGATGTCACATACCCATTAGTCTTTTCAGGAGCGGCGTGCAGTGCCCAGTGCACCAGGACGCCCAGAGTGCCTGACAGCAGATCTCCCTGGCCGCCACACCTGCGGCTGCTGCCCTTCTGGGTGCACTCGAGTACTGCAGGGCGAGAGGGACACAGCCATTAGAGGACGAGCTCACCTGGGCCTGAGGCACGATCTCAATCAGCAGCAGCTCTTCCCATCTGTTCTGTACAAGGCAGCCTGGTTTACAGAAGAGCAGACCCAGGCCAGCCCAGAAGCACCTGCGTAGCACAACACAGGCGGCAAACAGACTCATCCAACTTGGGCCTGCTGGAGCAGACACGGGAGCAGAGCACAGGTACCGGGGATCTTCAGGCCAAGGAGGTGCATGCCACACTAGCACGCCTGCATGGACCCAGCCAGTGGCCGCTCTTCCATTTATGCTGCTCTTCCATTTATGCTGTATAACCCAGCAGCCACTTTGGAAAACAGGTGGTTGTATCTTCTGAATGTCAGACTCTAGAGCACTTCCCAGCAACAAAAAGGTTTCAAGGTCCCTCAGAGAACATACCCTTGGTATCGCCTATCCAGTGTGGGGGAGCACACAAGCAGCACTCTTTGGGGCCCCAGTGTGCCTCCCACCACCTGGTCAGCAGCTCTATGCCAAGGCAGCCCATCCTGTAAGTACAGAACCAACGCGCTCCCTGCTGCCCAGTCCCGCCATGTGAGGGGAGGACCTGTTCTGGGTGCACTGGGGAGACTCTGACCCTCACTGTCATTGATGGCAGGTCTCCAGCACACACCATAACCTCCCTGTTCTTCCCACTAGGCAGCCAGCAGGCCCTAGAGACAGAACGAGGTGGAAGCTGCCATGTCCAGCACCTGGCAAGCCCCTCCACTGGTGTCCACTCCCAGTGTTTCCTCACTTTCTAGCCCTTCTTAACAATAAAATGCCAGGAAATATTCATATAACTGTCTCTAATGCTGCAGGTAAGCTGGAGGCAGCAGGTCCAGGACCCTGGGCACCACATCTGACAGGGCTGCCACAGATCATGGACAGAACCGTAGCTGCTGCACCTGACATCCAAACACTCAGCAAGGTCATTTCCCTTTGTGAAACAGTGAGAAATGCAAGCTCACTGGGAAGTCTATGTGTGGAACATGTGTGACACGAGGGACAGCAATGTGCTGTGTGTGACCACAGTTTTCCAGGGGCTGGTGCCCAGCACAGCCAAACCAACCGACCTGCGTGAAGCCTACAGGTACCTACCCTGTTCGCCATCAGAGATCACGTCCCGCTCCCCTTTCTGTACCACGGTCACATTCCCCAGGGCCTGACTGAGCCTCCGTACAGCTTCATGATGATCACTACCATCGACTGGGTGGCTCAGCTGCGAGTGGGACAGCACAGACAGGCCATTGTTAAACACATGGAAGGAACCCACAATCACGGATACATCCTGCCCATCCACCCTGATCTCAGACATAGGAAGCCTCCAGGAGCTCTGGCCCCCCACACAGATGTGTACAACCCGTGCACCAGGGGGAAGTGGGCCCAGAAGAGCTGGACAGCAAGTCCTCAGGTGGATGTGGAAACACTGTTCTTACCCTCCCCGGACTTTCGGATCAAAGTTAAGGGAACAATGCCCAAGGCTAGAGTTTTACAGGTTTGCAGAAGTGACACAACTCTAAATGATAACATGCTAACATCTATGGGACGCTTCATATGTAGAACCTGTGGGTTTACATTCATCATCTCACTTCATCCTTAGACTCTATGAGGCGATGTTCTCATGACCCACATTTCACAGGTGAGGCAATGCAGGAAGGGATGGAGTGAGCGGCCCAGAGCCCACTGCCCCGCCTCTCACCTAGTCACAGATTTGCTGGTGACAGGATGCCCCAGGATTCCGTGCACCACCAAGAAAGAATAGCACTGTTAGCATGTGGAAACATGCATCTACTTGCTGGCCATCTGCAAATATGCCCCTGCGGGGAAAGGTCGGGGCACCAGAGCCATCCCTCACCCCTCCTCAGGAAGGGGAGGGTTTACACTTTTTGGGTGGTCAGTGAACTCACCACAGCTTCAGAGAGTCTGTTGAATTCCACATGGTTGGGAGTGAGAACAGCCTTCCGGTAGCTCTGGATGAGGGCTGGGTGCTGAGCTATCAGCCACAGCCCATCCTATAGACAGGGACAGGTATGTATGCACAGTCTTAGGGGCAGGCCTGGCTGTGAGAAGGGGCATGAGAGGAGAGGCCACACTCACTGCATCAATGATGACAGGGATGTCCCTGGCCTTGGATGCTTCTAAAATGCCCTGCAAGAAAAGAAAGCTATGCTGAACAAGCCCATCACCCCCAGTGGAATTAACACCAAGCAAGCAGTTCCATGATGAATTCAACAAATACACAGAAAACGTAAATGCAAGACAAGAAACAGAAGGAAACTCAAATGAATGGGCAGTAGCCCCTCTGTAAGGCAGGGGCACCACAAACCCTAGACAGGAGTCTGTGGGAAGCACAATACCCAGCACTGGGGCAGGCGAGCCCATGGAGGCTGACCCCAAGCTAGAAGCTCCAAGTGTCCCATCAATACACATCTCAGGGTTCCCAGATGAAAAATCTGAAGTCTTTAGAATTCCCCCAAATACATGCGCCAGTATTTGACACGCTGCAATACCACGTGACACCCATCTCTACCCAGAACACACACTTGACAGTAGAAAACATTAAGAGAACAGTGAGACGACAGCCGCACTCCAGGATGCCCAGTGTCCAGCACACAGCACGGAGACAAGCGGGTGAGCACATGGTGGGTGGGCTCGCCCACCAAAGAGAGGCCTCAGAAAAAAACTAATCTGCCACACAGCTTGCAGACGCCCTCAGGGACTGGGAGAGAACGTCTGCTGTAAAGCCCCACCTGCAGTGTCCCGCTGCGGCTGCCCAGGAGGCTGCCCTCCTAAGCAGCGTGGACTTCCTAGGAAGTCCCTTCTGGCCCTCCAGGTAGGGGTTGGGGGGGGGGGGTGGTAGCAAAGGAAGCAGTGAGGAAACCCTGGATGATGGACAGCTACTCTCATGGCCCTGAGCCCAAGGGAGCGCCAACCTCTTCATGGGATGGCCTCTGACTCAGGCTCTATGTCAAAGGAGCACCCAGATCCCGACAGCGTCTGGGGCACTACAGCACGCAACTTGTATCCCAGCGGAGCTGCCGCAGGCTGAGCCTCAACGCCACCTCCGAAATCCTAGCTCTGCTGCTTGGAGTTGGGTGAACTTGAGTAAAGTCAGCCCAGTCTCTGAACCTCAGTTTCCTGGTAAGATCAGAGTAATGCCTCAATACTCTCCAGGTTTACCCACCTCTAAAGATTCACCCGGTCTTCAGCAAGAGGGCTGGCAGCCCCTGAAGGGCAGCTGCAGTAACTGTTACTTTGCACGAGCAGTCCAGCGCTGAGCCAGACACCTGCTTAGGCCCAACGTCTATTACCCTGCTCCTTCCTGGAGTATCTGTGAGTCCAAGGGCCTTAACATACGTTAAAAAAAAGAAATAGTAAAACAAAATAGATGGTAAGTAGAAATAACCTGAAATACTAAAAGATAAACCCAGACATATTTAACCAGAAGTTATTCCGAAAATGAAATGGGAGACCCCACAAGGTGAGGGCTTGCCCTACCGTGCCCTCCTTGCCCTACCCTGTTGTATTTTGTGGACATGGGTTTGAGGATTCAGAGAGGTCGCAAAGCCCCTTCAAAGGAGGGTCAGGGTACAAGAGCCTCATCAAAGCATATTTCCTCACTTAACAATGAAAACACTCTGCCTGCTGCTTTGAGTTTTGGCTTTGCTGCGAAAACAGATTCAGCTTCCCTCAATCTCTGCTTTTGGGCGGCAGTGCTGGGCCACAGCAACGACACTTCCATCTCTGTGCTTTCCTCTGCCGATCCTGACGAACATTGGGGTGAAGGTTCAAACACCAGGAAAGCCAAATCGACGTGACTAGGCAGGTATGAATCATGTCGCATCACATTCGGGTCTCCTGGCACACAAAGAGTTGTGCATCCTCACTCCTGTAAGGACGGGTTTGCTCCATCACTTGGGGTATTTGTACGAAGTGTGCTGTGCATTTAACTCTGTCCTCGTCTGTCACGCTGCCGTCAGGGCCTGGACACACAGCGAAGGTGACAGCAGCTCCAAGGGAGGCCACTTGATGACATTGCCATGGCCCCACCATCTAGCCAACAATCTAACCCACGGGGAGGATAGCAGAGAAGGGAAGGAGCTGCACACCCACCAGTCAGAAGAGGCTGGATGCTGGCTGAGCAGCAGCCCCATGTGTCTGACAGTAAGATACAGCCACAGTCAAAGGGGAGCACTCCTGCACGGGAGGTGGCGCCCAGGGGAGAAGGAATGCCCCCCCCCCAGCAGAAGCCCTGAGAGGGCAGCCCTCTGGTGGGAGGGAGCTGCTGCAGCCAACACCATCTGGCCATACAGCTCGTAGACATTTAGGACACACCTAAAAGAAACAGACAAAATACTTAAGCAAAAATGTTCAAGACATCACTAACATAAGAAAAAGCTGTAAACCACCTAAATGAACTAGCTAAATATAGTATATCGTGATATAGCTAAATAATGAGGAACATGTAGCTATTCTATCAGGAAAAGCCGCCAGGACCTATCATTAAGAGCAAGCTACAAAGGAGCATAAATAGTATGAGCTCTAGTCAAGAGCCTAGGTCCTAGATCCAGAAAACTCCGGTTCCTAACCAGCATATGACATGGGAGACTGAATACTGTAGGGCAGCAGCATGGCCAAGCTGAGTTCACATTCAGCATGTTCCCTGTCAGAATCCCTGCTTCCTCTTCTGATCCTAAAGTTCCTGTGGAGATGCATACAACCCAGAACAGCCAAAATACTCCCAAAATGAACAAAGTTGGCAGGATCACACTGCCACCACTGTCAGGACGGAGTGCTCCCAGTGCAAGGACAGCTGTACAAATCAATGAGCAGAGATGAGAGCCCAGAAATAAACCCCTGCACTGATGTCCAGACTTTCAACAAGGATGAACAGACAATTCACTCAAGCAGAGTGGTGCTGGAACGAAGTATCCACTCCCTACACCAGACATAAAATGTATTCAAGATGCACCATAGACCTACATATAAGAGCTAAAACAATAAAGCTCTTCAAAGAAAATTAACTTAAGAATTAAAAATTCATGCGAGAAAAAAAGTGCAGCAAACAGAGGAGTTCCTCCAAACGTGAAATAGGGTTGTCACAAAAATCTGTACACAAAGATTCATAGTGGCACTACTTTCAACAGCCCAATGCAGAAGCCACAAGGGATGGATAAACAAAATGTGGTCCACACAGGAGAATATCCACCAGCAAGGAAAGGAGTGGAACACTGACCCACACCAAATGCACGTGAGCCCCGAGATGCTGCTGAGTAAACACAGCTGGTCACAAACACCAGTCCTGTCAGACCGCGTTGCTACAAAAGGTCCGGAAGATACAAATACACAGGCTGCAGGTAGAGACTGTGGCTGCTAGGGGCTGGGGAGTTTGAGAGGAAAAGGGAGCAGCTGCTAACAGATGCAGGATTTCTTTTTGGAATGATCAGAGTGTTCTCATGGTAGTGGCTCTACAACTGTGAAGATACTCAGAAACCTCGGAATTGTATGCTTTAAATGCATGAATTGTGTGGCATGCAAAAATTCTTGATGAAGTTAAGAACTCAGCAACTTATTACATGGCCACTTTGGGGGTGTAATTTAATTTCTCCAAGATTCAATTTTTGTCATCAGAAAAACGAGGATATGGGGGTGTCTGGGGGGCTCAGTCGGTGAAGCGTCTGCCTTTGGCTCAGGTCATGATCCCAGGGTCCTGGGATGGAGCCCTAAGTCCCTGATTCAGACTCCCTGCTCAGCAGAGAGCTTGCCACTCCTCCTGCTTATGCATGCTGTCCCAAATAAATAAGGAAGGAAGGAAGAAAATGAAGGAAGGAAAAGAAAGAAAAGGAAGAAAAGAAAGAAAAAGAAAAATACAAACAAGGCTAAGAGAAATCTATCCAACAGGGCTGTTTTCAGGATTATACTAGATAACAAATTCGCTCAGGAAACATTTAGGAAGTGTGTGCAGGAACACAGCACAGTGAGAGCAGCACACGGAACACACCCACTGTGAGTATACAAGTCACAGACGGTACTGAGCTCTGTAACCAAGTAAAACATGAGGAAACCCATGGTCCCTGACGGTCCCCAGCCATCCCGGGGCCCCAGGCCAGTGCTGGGGGTAGCCCCTGCACACGTGTCCCCAGGGAAAAAATATTTAGGAGGAATTCTGGTAAAATCCAAGCATATTTTCCCCACTCGTTTAAACTGCTATTTCAAAAATAAGTTCATTTCTTATCAGAGAGCTTAAATCTCTGTGCAGAAAATGCCCTGCTGAGGAAGAAGTCCTGAGAGACATGGGAAAGGGTGAGGTGATGTCTGGCGTGGCAGCTCCTCAGAGGTGAACAGCACAGAAAGCCACATTGCCAGGATGGGCAGGCCTGGGACCTGCAGATCACAACAGTACACAAGAGGGTGTCTCTGTTCCAGGTTTGGTTCAGGAGACACCCTGACAGGTGGCTTCCTGAAGCAAATCACAGTCAGACTGTGCTGAGTCCACTCAGGCTGCTGTGACAGATGCCACAGGCTGGGTGGCTTGGAAACAACAGAGATGTACTGCTCACAGTTCTGGAAGCTTCAAGTCCAGGATGTGGGTGCTGGCTGAGGGCCTCCTACAGGTCACAGGCCGTGCTGTGTCCTTAGCTGGTAGAAGTGGAGGGGAGCTCCCGGGAGCCCCTTTATACGGGCGTGAATTCCATTCAGAAGGCTCCTCCACCCACACAACCTAATCACTCCCCAAAGGCCTCACCTCCTGACACCCTACCTTGGGGGTCAGGATTCCAGCACGTGAATCTGAGGGGACACATGCATCCAGGCGGTGGACAAGTCACAAAAGGTCACAAACCCCATCATCCTGAGGGTCATCCCCATTCTGGCAGGAGCTCTCACTTGCCTCTCTTCCCAAAGACAAACCACCTGGCAGAGAGGCTGTCACAGCCCATCTCCCACCCACCCTGTGCAGAGAGCCACCATCTCAGGATACAAGTGCACAGGAGACCACAGGCTACACACAGGGTTCCCCATTCAGGTCTCCCCCTCAGCTCACATGAATCAAAGGAGCTAGCTTTCCTCAGCTATGATTTATTTCTACTTTTCAGCAAGTAGTCAAGAATTTTCAAGATTAGAGGATGCTTGGGAGGCCTGAGTGGCTCAGCAGTTGAGCATCTGCCTTCAGCTCTGGGCGTGATCCTGGGATCAGGTCCCACATCGGGCTCCCTGCATGGAGCCTGCTTCTCCCTCTGCCTATGTCTCTGCCTCTCTCTGTGTGTCTATCATGGATAAATAAATCTTAAAAAAAAAAAAAAAAGGACTGGACGATGCTGCCTGACATGTGACGTGGCCCATGCCAGCTCCAGGTGGCTCCAAACCAGGACAGCCCAGAGGCCTCATTTGCGGTGTGTTACCTAGAGCCACTGCTTGACTGTATGGGACTGGTTTTCAGATTATTTGTCCCAAATGTACAACTGCTGGTTCATTTGACACCCCTGTTTTCTCAGCTCTTTGTAAAAGGATGGAGTGGCTGTCCCTCCTCCCCCAGGTGCCTATCACTATGCTTCTCATTCAAAGTGGACACCGGAACACGGGGCAGTCCCAGGGACTTCCCTGCTGCAGTATAAAAGCTACTGCCCCGAGAGCAAGAGACTTATTCCACCTGGTCTATTTTAGGTTCATTCCTAGCTCTTTGCCTAGTGTTTCCCCCTCCCCTAAACCATCTTCATTACTCCATCAAGAGACTTGTGAACACTGAACAACAGAAACTCCAAGAAAATGCTTCTCTTTTAACTCCACAAGCTGAGTCAAGTCTATGAGATAAGGCATGTTCAGTAATTCTCTACATTTACCTTAACGTTTTCAAGAAGAATATTGTCTCGACCCAGGCCAGGTCCCACGACCAGGGCATGCAGCCGGGGCAGCCACTCCTCCACATCGTGAACAGCGCTGGGGCTGTCGCTGCATCGGGAAAAGGAGGCCAGACAATTTAGTACCATTTGCACTCACTGACTTACCTTATTAGGGAGACCACATTTTTCTGGATCTCGCTGGTTCCTTCTGTTGCAGGACTCAGGCCAGGACCCCAGCCTGCATCTAGCCATGTCTCCCCTCTTATCCCCATAGATGGGCTCATCTTTCATTCCCCAATGTACGAATCCAGCTTTCAGCATCTATACACTGAGACATTCCAGCTACTTTCAAAACCATCTTGGTCTTCTAGGATGAACCAGGTTGTTTCCTGTCACACAGGGTACTTTAGGAACTCGAAGGGGCATCCCCTGGGAACCTTGTCAGTAGGAGCAGGACCTGATGGCTGTCTGGATTTTGTTGTTCCTCCACGGCAGCTTCCCGCTTACCATCTTGCTCCTTGGACTCTTAGAACCCACTCTGCAAGCCTCTGCCCCCCAACTACCCCATGGCAAGATCCAAGCATCCAAGGACTTGTACTTAGCCCCTGTGTCTGACAGATGCAGGGACACGGGCCTTCCAGGCGAGTGCCAACAGTTCTCCAGAACAGCCCTCCTCCTGCACTGCCACCCACCCTCTGCTCCCAGCTGTTGGATGCTGGGCTGGCCCTGCTGACACGCACTCCTGGTTAGCCTTACCCTTGCCTCCTGGCTTTACACACCTCCCCCACATCAGCCCCCAGGTCTACACCTTCCCTGAGCACCCCACTCCATCCAAGGTCTAACAGCAACACTGCTTAGATATCCAGCAGGCAAATGGAAACATCCAAAAGCCAGCCCCTGATGGTCTCGCCGACCAAAACCTGCTCTCTCAGGTTCCTCATCTTGACAACAACTAGCGCAGACCAAATCCAGAGTGGCCTTCATGACTCTCATCTTTTCCTTCTGCCCTATGTCCCCCTGTCAGCAAATCCTGGGGCTGTACTTTCAAGTGCACCTCAAAGCTGACCCTTCTCTTATTTCTCCCTCATCACTTACTCACCCCAGCATCCTTACAACACTTTTCTCATGCAACCCCTGCTTCCATCCTGGGCCCCAAAAGCTCATTCTCAACACAGCAGCCAGGTCACAACTTTTAAATAAATGTACACTAGACCCTGTCCCTCCCTGCTCAAGTGTTCCAGTGGCCCTCTTCTCCCTCCTCCTCATTTACCTGAAAGCCAAACCCCTTAGGATAACCCCCACAACCTCAGGGCTTGGCCCTGCACCCCCCTGGTCACCTGCCCCATCCTAAGCCCCTTGTGCTCCTAGACACTCCTCGGCTCAAGTCGTACCAGCTCTTCCTTGTGTCTGCAGGTCCCTACCTGAATGCCACTCTCTGGGCCCCTGCCCACAATCACCCTAGAGAAAACCACACACATGCCACATGCATGTACAGGCCCTGGTTAGGTTCTCTGACACACTGTTGCCTTGCATGTCTGTCTCCAGAGCTCTGCAGCCCAGTATGGCAGACACCAGCCACATGGGGCTATTTTAGTTAAAGTAAAAACTCAGCTTCTGAGGCCCCCCAGCCACATTTCAGGTGCTCCTTAGCCATACATGGTCAGCAGCCCCAGTTCTGGAGGGCACCGAGAACATTTTCACCACTGCAAAGCCCAAGGGCCAGGAACAGCTGTTTTGTCTGCTTGGTTTGACGCTGTCCCTGTGGAAGCCAGGGCAAGGACCGGCACTGGAAGCATCTGCCGCATGAGGGAAGGACCCTGTTCCTGCCTGATGGGCCCCTCGTTACTGTGTGGGAAGCTTGACCACAGGCAAGGCCCAGACCTCTCCTAGGAAGCCTCAACCATTTCTGATGGACCATGGGTCAACCTGGGGCACGGCCCCCTGGTGGCTCAAATCTCATCCCATGCTGTACACACACGGCTGCTTATCTTCTGACTGCAGACAGTGGGCTCTTCACAACTTCTCCTTCCTTCCCACAGCACCTACCTACCACTTCCCAGTATGGCAGCCCCTCAACAGAGGCTCTGGGAGCCCACAAGAAGGCCCCACACCTGAGGAGCACTGCGAGTAACGCACCCCCGTGAGGCCCCACTCACAGAATCGGGTGAACGATCAGCTCCGGGCTATACGACTTGATCACAGGTGCGGCCTCCCGGGTGCAGAACACGTGGGATAAGTCTGCGCCCTGAGAAATGAGCACAAGAGGCTGACTCAGAGCCGGGCCCGCCAACAGACACCTAGGTGGCCTCAGCCAAGCCCCTCACCACAGCTCTTACACTATAGCTAGGTGGCTCAGAGGAGGCCAGAAACTAAGAAAAGGGCTGGAACAGAAAGCAGACTTCTGCTGCCACCCAAGAGGCAGGTCAACCCAGACCAGCTCAGGCTGCCGCACCCGTGGGGGCCATGGGGGGGCACATTTTATCTTAACTGAGCCATTAGGCCTGGGAAATCACCAAGGTTGTAAAGATGCCAACTGCTTAAGTGAGAACTGAAGCAGCATCCCAGGATCATGCTGGTGAAGGATAGTTCTGATAAAACTTCAGTTAACAAAATTCCATGGGGGTGCCTGGGTGGGGAGGTGGGGCTCAGTCGGTACAGCATCTGCCTTCAGCTCAGGTCATGATTCCAGAATCCCAGGACTGAGCCCCACATGGGGCTCCCTGCTCAGCAGGCAGCCTGCTTCTCCCTCTGCCTCCCTCCCCTGCTCGTACTCTCTCTCTAAATAAATCTTAAAGAAAAAAGGAAAGAAGAAAAGAAAGAAAGAAAGAAAGAAAGAAAGAAAGAAAGAAAGAAAGAAAGAAAGAAAGAAAGAAAGAAAGAAGAAAAGAAAGAAAGAAAGAAGAAAGAAAGAAAGAAAGAAAGAAAGAAAGAAAGAAAGAAAGAAAACACTTCCCTAATCATATTTAAAGAATCCAACTCTTGACTAGAAAAGTTGTAAACAGACCTACCACTTTGAGAGCTGAGATTGCTGCGAAGTAAGGTGCTCCAGTATACCTAAAAAGGAAGATATTGACAGTCATCAACTTCTGAGAAAGAGGCAAACACACCAGGTTTATCAGGTTTCACAGACATGAATCACAGAGCCCAGGACCCAGCACTTCATAGGTGTTCAGTAAATGTTTAATAAACATCAACAAACATGGATTGCAACAAGTCCGTTTGTCATTTAAGACCTTTGGTTTTGTTTAAGTAGGCATGGAGCCCAATGCCAGGTCTGAACCTTCCACTCTGGGACCATGAGCCAATATAAGTCAGACACTCAACCAACTGAGCCACCCAGGGTTAGGACCACTGGCTCTCTGCAGCACTGTGTTCAAACTAGAGGCTTGAGGAGGCTGTAAGAGTTCACTGAAGACGTCCCTACCCCCGGGTGGGGGGGAGGGGTGACACAGGTGAGCACAGTTCAGAACGCTGTAAGAGGATGATAGCGAGGACAGCAGCACATAGTCTGGCACTGAGACTCACACAAATCCCTCCTGTTCCCATTCCACCTTCCAGAGTGCCTGTGAGTAATGTTAATATTGCCTGAAGCAGAGAAAAAATGCTTGAACTTGTCATCAGATGAATGACTGTAACCTTTATGTCAATCCCAGGCAGTGAAGAAAACCCAGGAAAAAGACTGAGTAAACTCTACACACTCCCGCACAGCAAGGCCACCAACGGGCCAGGAACACAAGACAGGACATGCCACACGCATGCTGTCTCTGCTCCACCCCACAACAGGTATGCTAGCCCAACAAAGAAGATGCACTAAAACCATAAAAACTAGCTTGCCTATTTATCCAGCAAAAGGTGTGAGGGGTGGAGGGAGGGGGAGATGCTTATAGGTGGCAGTACACACCAGTGCGTGTGTGTGGGGGGGGGGGGGTGGCAATTTGCAGCATGCAACAACATTTAAGATGTCTATGTGTTCTGCTCCAGTAGAAATTCTAGGAACTGATCCCCTGGAAAAAAACAAGATGCACATATAAGCAGAAAAACATACAGGGATGTCTACAACCGTACTGTTTAGTTGGGGAAAAAGAGCAGGTGACCACTCGCCTATCAACAGGGATTGGCTAAATAAGTTACGGTCCATCTTTACAAAGAATACTACACCCCCACTTACCAAGAACCAATCTCTAGGAACCGACATGGAATGATGGACACCCAGAACACTGCATTAACATAATGCAAAGCTCTGACAGTTGTTCTTTCTTCTGTTTTGTAATAATATCTGATGTAAGCTTTGACTACAAAACCATCCACTTCAAAGACCGCCATTTCAAATGCATTACCGGCCCAAGACTAGGCGGAGAGCCAGGCCACCCTCGCCCCCTTGAGGCTCCTTTAAAGATTTTGGTTGATTTCAGTAACTGACCATCTGGGCCACTTGTCTTTTTCTCTTCCAGGGCTTTAAATTCCCACACTTGTGCTTCAAATTCACCAATAAAGGGGGATCCCTGGGTGGCTCAGTGGTTTGGCACCTGCCTTTGGCCCAGGGCGTGATCTTGGAGTCCCGGGTCCCGCATCGGGCTCCCTGCATGAAGCCTGCTTCTCCCTCTGCCTGTGTCTCAGCCTCTCTCTCTGTGTCTCTCATGAATAAATAAATAAAATATTAAAATAAATAAATAAATTCACCAATAAAGAGTGAATCTTTGAAACCTAAGCCCTTGCCCTCAACCCCAATAAAAGGAGAATCCCGAACCTACATGCTCTGTCTACTTGCAGCCCTCAGTTGTGAGGCCCCAGAGATGCTGTGTCATTTCCAAGTCCTATAAGTAAAACAGCTTTATTTTTTCAAAGTTTCCTGGTAGTTGTGGCTAGAGGGCATCTTGTGATCGTAAGAACTCAGGGGCAGGTCCCATAACACTGGTTATTGATAAGCTGAGACTGGCACAAAACAGTGACATGCTCCCAGTTTTGTAAAATAAATAAATAGTTGCATGCACAAAGTCCAGAAGACTAATAATGTGTCCACACTGAATTATTATTTGAGATACTCTGAGGCTTTCACTTCATACATTTCTGGACCATTTGAATTTTTATAACAAGCAGATAATACTTTTATAATCACAATAACAATGATCCTATTTTCAAGGTTAGTTCCTAAAGCTAACTGACATACTTTAAGTTAGATAATCACCCCTAGCATGCTACACTACCAAACTTATCTGAAAAGAAAATCTGACGTCCAGTTCTTCTCATGTAGATGTCCCAAAATATAAGGCAGGAGATGGAGGGAATGTGAGGACCAAAACCCCTGACTTCCTCAATTCTCTCAAAGGATGAAGGACCCAACCACCCGGCAGAGGCCACCTGCTGGCCTCCATCCCAGAGGCTGGGGGAGGACTGTCCTTTAACCAGGGACTAAAGGAAGAAAAGCAGGTAAGAACTAAGGATCCAAGAGCCCAACATGCAATAGGAGGAGAAGAAAACAGATGAGAAGTGGGAGCCAGTAACAGGCAAATTTCCCTCATCCAAAGGGACCACGGCTACAGATGGAAAGAGCTCACCAAGTCTCAATAAAATTAGTGAAAATAAGACACATTCCAGACATATCTGGAGGAAACTGCAAAATTCTAAAGAAAAAAAATCTTACAAACATCTAAGCAAGAACAAATTACTTATAAATCAAGGCAAACTTTTTTTTGTAGTGCAAAATACAGGCTAGAGGACTATGTGATCATATATAGGTTACCACAGAAAATCCTGCTACCCGAGCATCCCCAACTCAGCCAAAGCACCAAGCAGCCCACCGACCAGAGCAAGACACAGCAGGTGTACAAGTGCCCCCTCCCCAAGCAACAACCCCCCCCCCCACGTTGTCAAAGAATATGCCAGAAGAGCCAAAGTGCAGACTTCTAGGCCAGGGAGGAAATAACACAGGATCTACCTGGCAGTATTGTATACAAAGTTCCACGTAGCAGTTAGGGGTTGGGCTAGGTTAATCAAGTGTTAACTCTCTCTCCTGAGTGGCATTTGTAATTCACCATAATAGTCAGAAAAGGCAACACCTAAATTTGAAAGCATAATACAATTTCCAAATTAATATAAGGGAAAACCTAGCAAAAATAATAAAAAAATGGAAACACAAAGTAAAATAAAGAGAAAACATAACAGGTCTTAGAGAGTACATGAGGTAGACTCTAAACATGAACAGGCTGATTTGCAGTATTAAAAAAGCAATTACTGGGATCCCTGGGTGGCTCAGTGCTTTAGCGCCTGCCTTCAGCTTGGGGTGTGATCCCGGGATCCTGGGATCAAGTCCTGCCACCGGGCTCCCTGCATGGAGCCTGCTTCTCCCTCTGCCCGTGTCTCTGCCTCTCTCTCTCTCCCTCTCTGTGCCTCTCATGAATAAATAAATAAAATCTTAAAAAATAAAAAATAAAAAAGCAATTACTGTCACATGAGGTTAGGAAACAAACCAAGCTATGTATTATATTTATAAGACAACTAACCATGTGATAAACTGAAAATATACAGCCAGGCAAAGACAGCACATGATATGAACAGACAGTAAGCGGTAGCTGAAATGCTAACCAAGGTTGATTAAGTCAAAGGCAAAGGTATCATTTTATAAACAAGGACAAATTATAAAACTGTGTCAAACTGCACAGCAGCAAAATATACAGAATTAGAAAACAAGCCTTGAAAAAAAAGGCTAGATCTGTCAAATTTCATGAATGACTTGGAAGAACATCTTCAAATTGACAAAGTAAACCAAACACACCGTTTTTCTTCTGATTACAAAGTAACAGGTTTAGGGGCCTCTGGGTGGCTCAGTCAGTGAAGCATCTGCTGCCTTCAGCTCAGGTCATGGTCCTTGAGTCCTGGGACTGAGCTCCGCATCAGACTCCCTACTCAGTGCAGAGCTGGCTTGTCCCTCTTCCCCTGTTGCTCCCCCCGCTTGTCCGCAAGTGCTCACTCTCTCTCTCAAATAAAATCTTAAAAAAAAAAAAAAATCCACAAAGTAATACATATTTAAAGTATGTAGGCTGGTCAGTAAAGCCTAAAACAAGAAAGAGTCCCATCCCAGCCCCCCCTGCAGGTGCAATCTCTACACTAACAGCTCACTTGGGACCCTTACTGTTTTCCCCTATTCAGTCACAAAGTTCAACACTGACAAATACCGGTGTCAGAACATCCGACTACACGGAGAAATGATTACTGGGGTCTAACTAGACAAACAGCCAGCTGGTAAGCAGGCAGTGAGACGACAGAGACAGCCTAAACACCCACATTTTCCAAGTCACTTACTCTTGGCAGCCTCCGACTATGCCTATTCTTCCATCCTGGCCTTTGTGCTTCTTGGTAGTTAGAGGAGGTATAATATTTCTCACCAGCTGCAAAGTATTTTCCATATCCTCTATTGAACGTGCTTTATGCAGTGAAAATGCTCTTTGTAAAACTGAAAAACAGGAAAATGAAATCATTTAGAAAAATATCAGCACACATGAAAAAGACTGAAAGACAGCCTATTAACCAAAACACTTCCCAAAGTTGACTTAATGTGAATGCTATAGATTTTTATCCAATGGTTTCACTATTTTATTTCTCTAACCAAACGATGCTTAGAAATTACAACACACAAGCTATACATACCAAGTTTGTTTTTGAAATGTATTAGACATTCCAGAAGACTAATTAATCTTTCAGAAGATGTTTCTAATGCATTACTACTTAATAAACCACACATATTCCAGTTCAATCTTCCATCAAGTTTATCGGGTCTCTTCAGGTTGCTAAAAAGCAACCTCCCATTTGTTACCTTCCTTGATCATCTTCATACTCCCAACCTTCTAGTCACGTTTCTGACACTCAACTAAATAACCTAGAAATGGTATTCTAAATAGAGAACATAGCTTACACTGGGTTCAAAATGGCATTTTATTTTGTTTTTGTTTTTTTTAAGATCTTTTTAAAATTTATTAATTCATGAAAGACACAGAGAGACAGAGAGAGAAAGAGAGAGAGAGGCAGAGAGAGAAGCAGGCCCCATGCCGGGAGCCCGATGTGGAACTCGATCTCGGGTCTCCAGGATCACGCCCTGGGCCAAAGGCAGGCGCTAAACCGCTGAGCCACCCCGGGATCCCCAAAGTGGCATTTTAAAACAATAAAATGATTTTGTCTCTAAACAGCTAGATTTTAATTGCCTTTCTTGAAACTTCCTCATCATGTATTTTGCTCCCTTGATATTCAAACCCAGCTCATCTGTGAGAGAAATGCCATGTTCTGTAACATGTTGTATATTCAATGTTTGAATAGATAATAAAGCACCTGTTTTCTCTAGAATTAAAGGGTCTTTGTAGATACATACAATACTCTCACACAAGGCACCAACATTTGTTTCCTTCCAGTCATCTCAGCAGCAGAGAAAACCAGGCAGGTGTCACAGTTGGAATGAAGACCAAAGCTGCCCCAGCTCCATAAGGTAAACAGCTTTATCTTTAATTACACTCTTACAGTTTCACTTTTTATTCAACAAATTTATCCAAGTAGTTTTCTTTAATGAGTAGGTATAAATGCTTCCTTAGTTGACATGCCAGGTGCTGAGACCCCCACCCCCATGTGAGAATATTAACTACTCTCAACCTCAACACTCTGCACCTTCTCCCAAACCAACGCAAGACTAAAACTCAAAACAGAATCACTGCAAACCTTTGGCCAAGAAAAGGCACAACTGGGTTTGCTCAGCGATGGTGACAGGGGGCGGATGCCTGTGCTTCCAAAGTCCAGTGACCTGTCTACAGTCCTGCCCCAGAGCCACCGAGCTACCAGAGACCTTACTCTCCCTCCTCCTCCCTGGTGCCTGTCCACACTCCCAATTCCCAGACTGCACACGGTCTTCTCATGCCATCACTGGGCACTCACTGATGAGCTGCAGGAAGGGAATCAGAGTGGCTGCCATCAAACACGGTGACAAATCACTGACTGAAGAGCATCTCTGCAGTCATGGAAACGCAGGCTGTGCATCTGTCCCCAACTTTATCACGTCTAGCATAACATGATTGGTCAATACCAAACCTACATCATGACATACAGTTGCTTTTTAAAGTCTAGAAACTATAACCAAGTCACACAAGGGTTGCTCTGGGTTTCTTACAATGTCATGGGTTTATCAGGTTCCAGTACTTAGTCACATACAGGGTATACCCTAAGACCACGCCACTACACTTCGCCTACACAGGACATGGTACAGCTCCCATCTCCAGCTTTAGGACAGGTGCTTCCCCACTCTCAGTCACCTCGGAGTCCGGCACAGAACTGGACAAGCGTTTGATGAACTAAAAGCATCTTGGTTTATTCTCCTCGTTAGCAGTCAGTTTACCCTTTTACAGACAAGGGAACTGGAGCCCAGAGAGGCAGGCCTGTGAAGATGCCGGGTGCAGTAATGGATAAGCCAGAACAAAAAACATCATTTTTACCAAAATGCTGCCATTTTAAGGCAAATCACTTTTCTTTAACCAAATAGTCACCACACCAACCAAAAGACAAGACGACGACCAAATCCCTCTCAATTGCCCCCTAACCATTTGGGCGTGGTGGAATAAAATCACTTGAGAAGTATAGGATTTTCACTGGATTTTGACCAGAAGTGTATAGATGCAAAGTAAATCCACACGGCTCACCAGCCTCTGTCCCATCCATCTGAGACCAATGCCTTCTGTTAGCAAAGGGCCAAACGAAGGTCCGTGACATTTCCCTACACTTCACACTTCCTCAGGGCCAGCTGGCTTACTGGCATGCACCATTTGCATTTACCCACAGAAATATTAAGTATGAACACCAACCTTCTCAAGGATAAAGAGGCCTTGCCGAGGGGTGATTTAAAGTCTACGTCACTAAGTAACTTTATCCTCAGGATGATTCTGAGTCTGGAAGGACAGGTCAAACCCGTCTGATTCTTGTGTTCCGAAAGTGGCTGCGGCAGTCTGGAGAAGTCAATGGATTTCTTAAGCCTGGGCTGTTTTCTAGAATCACTTACCTCCTACAACCCTCTAGGATAACACCTTTGTGCCAGCTGTGCTTTGAACAAAGAACCATCACTCACCTGGAGCACCTGACAGCAATCCTCACAGTAACGGAGATGCCCTGAGGCCAGGCTAGGAAGTCAGGGCTCTACCACTCCACCTGCTTTTTGGTAAAAGCTCAGCAAATCAGCCTGATAATAAAACCTCGAACAAACTCGCAAAAGAAATACCGCCAACTAATCACAGTGTGCAAATGTACGGCAGAGGGCTACCAATAAAGTCTCTGAGCAAACTGACCAGAAGCCTCTCTGCCGGCGGCGTGAGGTGAAGCTAAGGAACCCTTTCATACCTCTCAAAGCAACTGGCACCTGAAACTAACGCAATGCTGCGTGTCAGCTTTACTTCAATGGAAAAAAAAAAAAAAAAAAAAAAAAAGCAAAAGCCTTTGGAACCATCCTGCAGAGAAACAAAGAGCCAAACACGCCCAAGAGTCTCCGGCCTGCAGCACTGTACACGCGTCCGTAGCAGAATCTCTCTGCTATCACAGCAAAAGAGAGCGTCACCCTGTCGGCTGCTCACTGGCTGGGCAACCACGGGTGCAGTCATTCCACGTTCTCAGAGCCCGTCCCTCCCGCCCACACAAAGGTCGGCAATCAAGTCTCTCCACCGAGCCTGAGAAACGTGTAATGCAACCCGCCAGCTCCTGAACGCTCTAAAACGCATTCCTGTGTTTTGGGTGAATACACGTCCACCGGGCAATCAGAACGAGGAAGGCACCTCACGAGGGGTTACGGGGCTCGGATCAGGCCATCCCTGTTCCCCACACGCCTCCAATCTTCCTACACGGCGCGCCCCGTCTGACACCCGGCCAGGGTCCTCGGGGGTCGCTCGGGTGGCCCCGGGCGCGGTGCTGCGGCCGGCCGGCGAAGCCCGTCCCTTCCCGGCCCCGCGCGGCCCCCCGGGCCCCCCGCGGCCCCCCGGACCTCCGACGCCGCCCCTCGGCCCCGTGGCCGCGCACAGGCCAGGCCGCACCGGCCGCACAGCTCCGCACGCCAGCGGCCTTCCGCGGCGCCTCCCGCGCCCACGGGCGCCCGCGGCCGGTACCTGCACCCGGCGGCAGCTCGTAGAGCACGAGCGCGGCGGACAGCAGCGCCACAGCCGCCGCGCCGGCGAGCGCAGCCCTGGGCCCCGCCCGAGCGGCCATGCGGGCAAGGGCGGCGGGTACCTTACCTCGCCGGCAGGCCCCGGCAGCCTCCCAGACGGAACCCGCAGCCATCCGCCGACTTCCGGACTCCCAGGCACCCCCGCGCGGCCGCAGCGGAACCCGACTCTGGGCGGACTTCCGGCTCCCGGCGGCCCTTGCGCCGTCGCCGGAAGCAGGCCGTCGCCCGGGCTCGCCCCACCCACAGACGGGCCTCCGCCAGTCCTGAACGGTCTCTGGCGATGGGCGAGCTCGGGGCCCAACCGGCGGGGGGCCCAGCTGCGGGGCCCCTGGATTTTGCAGGGAAACAGGTTCCAGCCTCCAGAGGCGCTTCAGGGTAGTAGGGTTCGGGTTGTTTTCGTTGTTCCCCATTTTGGGGTTGGGGCGTTATAGGAAACGGGGCGGGCGCTGCGCAGCTAACGAGCAGGTCGCTCTCGGGAAGCAGCTGGGGAATCTGGAGCAGCGCCTTAGCGCAGCCCGATTCCGTGTGGGCCGACGCCGCTGGACTCGGCGCTGCTCTGTGCGGCGGGCGGCCCCCGCCAGGCCCCCGGCCCCGACTCCGAGCCGGTCGGTGAGGCCGGGCGACCCCCGCCAGGCCCCCGGCCCCGACTCCGAGCCCGTCGGTGAGGCCGGGCGGCCCCCGCCAGGCCCCCGGCCCGGTGAGCGGGCTCGGCCGTCCCAGTGACTGCAGTCGGAAACCTGGAGGGCAGCCCGTCTTCTGTCTTCCCCTCCCGCAAGCCTCTTCCCGAGGGCCTGCCTGGCGGAGGCTGCTTGCAGGCGCACAGGCTAGAGGGGCGGGCGGGCAGGCGGGCGGTGGGTGCTGAGGGGCCTCGCCCTCTGCAGCTGCGGGGGGGCCCCAGCCCCGGGCGTCCCTTCCCTGCGGTGCCTCTGCGTCCTCGCAGGGCGTTCTTGCCACGAGCCTGTGCCCAGCAGCGGTACCGCCCTCGGGTTCCCTTACCCTGCCTCGGCCCTCTGCAAGGACCCTGCCTCCGCAAGTGGTGACACTGACAGGTTCTGGGAGTGCGGACCCACACCTGCCTCGGGGGACACGACCCACCAGCACCTTCTGAATGCACCTCCCTGCTTCCTACAGACACAGAAAGATCCTGTCACTCCTGAGGCAGTTTCGGGTCCAGAGCCCACCACCAAGAGAAAATTCCTGAGACCTCTCTGGTGCCAGATGGTGCTTCATTAAGACCACCCCTGGGGGTGGGCGGCTGATTGTATACTGGGAGCTGGGGGAGGTCAGGGAAAGAACTCGGGTGCTCAAGAGGACCTGCGGGATCTTTGAGGCCTTGCCGTGGCCCAGTTAAGGTTGTCTTTCCCTCTAGTAAAGCATTAGCATGAAGACAGTTGGGAGTCTCCTTCTGGAAGTTCGGCTGTTGTTAAGAAAGCACTGAGACACTGGTGAACAGGGAATCTCCTGTCTTGCCAGGACTGTGAGCTCTATGAGTTGACCCTTTGTTTTCCCTTCCCTCAGCCTTAGGGCGACTGGAGAGTCTCAGGACCGTCACATGCACCCCACCCAGGAGGGCCAGGGGCCTAGGGTGTCCGCTCGTCCTGGGTCCTCAGCTCGCCTGCTGTTCCTTCACCCCCCCCCCAGCCCCCAGAGACTTTCTGTATTGGAGTAAAACCCGTGTTGTCTTGTCTTCCAAGGCCTTCCAGCCCCGCTGTGACCCGTGCACCTCAGTCTCCTGTCACTGCTCCTTCTCTCTCGACTCTTCTTTGCCCTTCGCATAACCAGCCCAATATGTCCCTGCTCCTCCTGACAGTGACGTGGCACACACATGCACCATGAGCTTTATCAGTGCCAAGCCATTCCTGAACAGATGCACACCCCTTCTCTCCCACGTCCTGCCTTTTTTTTCTCCTTAGGACTTTTCACTATGTGACATCTTCTCTCATTTATTCATTCGTTGTCATCTATATCACCGTGACTATAGAGATTAGCTCCAATGGAAAATGTCTGTTTTGTTCTGTACCATATGCTCAGAGCATGGAACATGGCACATGGTAGGTACTCTCTCTCTCTCTTTCTCTTTACTGAGGCATGATTTACATAACAATTCACTGATTAACTGTGCACTTCCATGAGTTTGAACAAAGGTGTATAATCATGTAATCACTGATGTGGGGAACAAAGGCAAAAGAAACATTAAACTTCCTTACTACTTCCAGACCACTGAGAGGTCCTTGACACAGGCAGAGTGACCTTCGTCTAGGAGCTCAGCCGCCTCATGTTGACACTTTGCCCAGGGCAAGCCCAATCTTTCAGGACCCTGTGAGTCTACCTTAACTTACAGAAATTCCTTTGGAAACTTCCTTTATCTCTACTCCCCCTGAGATAGATGTCAGCAATCACCCTTCAGACACACAGCCCAGTGACACACATCTGAAGGGTCTCATGACTGAGGCTTTGCTAGACAGCAGTGAATGGCCTTCTAACCAGAGCTAGTCCCCTTGGGTCCTGGAAACCGTGTTTCCAAAATACAATGCCTTGGAGGCTTGTGCTCTCCCTTACCCCCTCCAACTTAAGAGTACGGAATCAGTCACCCTCATGACCCCCCTGTAGCTCTTTCTGCCCATGGGTCCTGTCCCCATGCTGTAATAAAACCACCTTTTTGCACCACAGATGTCTCAAGAATTCTTTCTTGACCTTTTTTTTTTTAAAAAGAAAAGATCTTTATTCACAAGAGATACACAGAGAGAGAGGGGCAGAGACACAGGCAGAGGGAGAAGCAGGCCCCATGCAGGGAGCCTGATGTGGTGGGACTCATCCAGGGTCTCCAGGATCACGCCCTGGGCTGAAGGCAGCGCTAAACCACTGTGCCACCGGGGCTGCCCCTTTCTTGACCTTTTCTCCTGGACCCTAACATTTCCTACATCAATCACCACCACATTTGTGATTTAGAATCTGTCAACCTACTTCAATTAGGCTTTTTATTTTCCTATTATAAATGTTATTTTCTTAATTTGTAATTGTTCATTCCTCATATATGGCAATAGGATTGATTTGCATATATAGACATTACATCCTTTGACCATGCCAAACTCACTCATTTGTTCTAGCAGACACTTTGAGATTACTTGGGATCTTCTGTATAAGCAGTGTCAGTTTGCCCAAGTTTTGGTGACATTAACTTCATTAACTTCCATCACTTGCTAAGGTGGTAGCCAACAGGTTATCTTTCACCAGTATGAACTCCTGAATTTTAATTTTACTCAGCAAAAATTGATAAATTTTTATTTTATTCAGAATTTTAAAATTTGTTAACCACCAAGTTATTTATTACCAATATGAATTCATGAATTTTTATTTCATTTATTTTCATCTTACCCTTTTTTATACTTTTTATTTTTAAGATTTTATTTATTCATGAGAGATACAGAGAGACAGCGAGAGGCAGAGGGAGAAGCAGGCTCCCTGTAGGGAGCTCCCCATGGGGAGGCCAATGTGGGACTGGATGCCAGGACCCGGGATCAGGACCTGAGCCAAAGGCAGACGCTCAGCCGCTGAGCCACCCAGGTGCCCCCGTTTTTATACTTTAATTGCAAACCTATTTAAATATTTACATTTCAGCGACTCATCTAGGGGCCCCAGTCAGAGCCATCTCTGATGCTCAGGTATAATCCTTCCCACAGCATGCGGGATGCGAGTTCCTTCTCCTGAGGGGGGCGGGGGAGGGGAGACCTGTGCAAACTTAGAGAAGTTGTGCAGATCAATTAACAGAACTATTCCCTGCTCAGCTGTGGAGCTGTGAAGTGGGCGTTGGCACTGCCCCAGCCTGGAGGTGGGGAAGAAGGGAGAGAGTGTGGGGGTCACTGGACACTGACCTGCTTCATGGCATTATTATGATTGTTCCTCAAAAGCCAACACCACAAGGAGGGAAAGGTAAGCAGTCTGAGATGTGGCACCCACTTCGTTTCCAAACTTCACCTCTGAAATAGAACACGTTTGGCCCATCTCTCTGGCAAAGTTGAGGGGTGACCTTCACATTCCAGTTGACCTTCCTGGGCTCCTGGCCTGCAGGCTGCTGTCCTCATTAGCCAGGCTCAGAAACAGATCCAAGAGAGAACAACTGGAACCCAGATCTTTCACTGGTCCAAAGGTGAAACAGCACATTGGATAATATTACAGAAGACCTGTAAGTACATTTTTTTTAACATTCACCCACAAAATCTGAAAAATCATTAAAGCTGAAATAATCTAATTTTTTTAGTGAGCACGAGGGGACCGCAATTAATAGAACACTGACAAGGGATTTGCATTCCTATTAATTTAATTACCGCAGTGGGAGCAGCTGCTTAGCACACCCAGTGGTAACTGGTAGATCATCCTTCCTTTTGAAAACTATCTCTTGTGATATCTTACCTATTATTTTTAGCTTTGCAATGAAGAGGAATATGATTAAGGGATATAGCCAGAAGGAAAAGTAAAATGTTTTTCCAGGATCAGCAAATCTTTATTTTCAGACTTAAGAAAAAGACAGTCAGGCTCAGGTAGGTTTGGCTTCTCTGGGGGCTTGTTTGAAATGCAGAAGCATAAAGGTTTCTATCATTTCCATAAAAATTAAGTCATCTGTTTTAAATTTCAGACTGCTATGATTCAGTGTTTTGTTTTTTAATGATAGTCACAGAGAGAGAGAGAGAGAGAGGCAGAGACACAGGCAGAGGGAGAAGCAGGCTCCATGCACCAGGAGCCCGACGTGGGACTTGATCCCGGATCTCCAGGATTGCGCCCTGGGGGAGGCAGGCGCCAAACCGCTGCGCCACCCAGGGATCCCGATTCAGTGTCTTTCTTAAAAACACAAGGGGGCGCCTGGGTGGCTCAGTCAATTAAGCATCTGCCTTCAGCTCAGGTCATGATCCCAGGGTCCTGTGATCAAGTCCCATGTCAGGCTCCCTGTTCAGTGGGGAGTCTGCTTCTTCTTCTCCCTCTGCCTGCCATTCCCCCTGCTTGTGCTCTCTCTCTGTCAAATAAATAAAATCTTTTAAAAAAATAATCAATTGAAATGTTGATACTGCTATTGATCTCCTTAGCCAGGGCAGAGAATGCTCTCCTCTGTCCTCTGCACAGCATCAGTGGGAGAGTTGCCATGGTGACCCCGGGAGAGGCCATTGTCCAATATTGTACTTCACCCTATAATTTCACCACAACCTCTTCTCGTAGGTCAAGTTGATGGGGCTGGTGAACAAAATCTTTATCAAAAACTCAAAGAATGAATGCACTTCTCATATTTGTCACATTTGCAGATGGCCCTGTATTGGGAATTCTTTTTTTTTTTTATTGGGTATTCTTAGTTTCTCCTACGTATAACTCAAGAGACTATTTCTCCATCCTTTCTCCCTGTATTCAACAAACGGAGGCACACTGCACTGAATCTGAGATCATGAAATCCACCTTACTGATCCCTGTTCAGAAGGTGAGGCTAAGAGGAAGCGCATCTGAGAGCACTTCTGTATTAGGTATCAGCCACAAATAAGGAAAGTGATTGACTCTTCTCTCTCTCTCCCTCTTTTTTTTAAGATTTTATTTATTTATTTACTTATTTATTTATTTGAGAAAGCGAAAGGCAGAAGGAGAAACAAACTCCTCACTGAGCATGGAGTCTGATGTGGGGCTCAATCCCAGGACCCTGCGATCATGACCTGAGCTGAAGGCAGATGCTTAACCAACTGAGCCACCCAGGTGCCTCCACTTGGTTCTTCTTAATAGTGCTAATCTCAGTGAAAGACTTTAGAAGGCCCACATTTTTAATAAAAACAT